AGCAGGCGGAGCCGCCGAGCGCTGGGCGAGCCCGCCCCCTTCCTGCCGCGCGGGTCTGCGCAGCGCCACCGGATCGCCGATCGCCGACCCGCGCGCGGTCACAGGAGCCCCGACACTGGGGGGCGGGGCGCGGCGAGCACCCACCCCTTAGTCCTGTCGCCCTCGCGGGTGCAGCTTCCTCCAGACCGGGGCGCGATGGGGAGGCGAGCGGGCACTTCCACCTGGAAGTCACCTCCGCAGGCCTGCACCCGCACTGTCTGCGCAAGTCTCAGAGCTGGATCGAACCCTCCCCTGGAAACCTTGTGAGTGGAACGTTCTGGGAGATTCCCCGGAGAGGGAAACTGCAGCAAGTGCTCTCGGGCGCCCAGAGGGGAGGCCCCTGGGGCTCCACGCAGGACTCCCTTGTCCACCGAGCGTGGTGGCCTCGCTGGCAGGGCGGCAGGGCGTCAAGCTCGGGGCTGCGTAGAGCCCCGATTCCAGTGAGACTCACTGATGGGCACTCTGCCCGCTGAACTGTGAACTGAGAGGTCCTTGCCCACTCTACAATGTAGGGTCCAAGAGCTGCCAAAGGGGCATATGGCCATTTTATAGCTACTGGGACCACTGTGAGGTCAGCCACGGGATCAGGAGGGCTCAGCAAAGCGCCGCCGTTGGTGCCGATGCAGAAAACCTCTGGAGAACACAGGAGGGAGCTTCCTGCGGAAAGCCTCGCCTTGGAGGCACTGGAGGAACTAGGGTCCATGGTAGGGTTCCCACCTTCCACGCCTGCCCACGGCCAGCTCCAGGCCAAGTGGGGCTCCGGCACGGTCAGCACCTTCTGTTGTTTGACTGATGTCAACAATGACCCCGTGAACTCGGGATGTGAACCCTGCCCCCCTGCTGTGCCCTCCTCCCCACCTCTCCTACACTGGAGCCTGCAGTTGGAGACGCCTACTTGTTAGCATCCTAAGCAAGTTTCTGCCCTCAGGAGAAATGTCTAGAGATCTGCTCTGGACAAGGTCATCCTTGGAAAACCTTGTGTCCCAACACGGAGCACCATGGACTGGGGGCTAAGCGACAGCATCACTAAGGTCACCTGAAGCTGACCTCTGATGAGGAGAAGAAGCCAGTCCTTAGGTAGAGAACTGCCCACATGTCAGCGCTGTGGTGGTGCAGCCAGTCAAGCACTCACTCCATTGCCCCGTCAGCATGGGCCCCTGGAAGTGGTAGGTTTAGGGATCCTGCTGGCACAGTGCTTAGAATCCTTGGCCCTTATCCAAAAGCTCAGCAGTTCAAATCTATCAGTTGCTCCTTGAAAGCAAGGCATGGAGGTTTGCTTCTGTAAAGATTTACACCCTTAAAAACCACACAGACCTACAAGGTCCTCAAGTAAGAACCGAGCTCCTGACCACAACTTTAGCTTTTTCTTTCCTGTTTTGGTCGAAGGATATGGTTCCGTTTCCCATAGCCAGAGCCTGCGTGCCAACACACACCACACTGCTGTCAATGGAGTGAAAGTTTACTGAGAAGGTGTGTTTCCCGTTCAACAACTTACAGAGTTTCATGGCAGTACTGTCCTCCCTGATGCCACAGCACCTTCCCGTGCCCTCCTGGGCTCCCTGTCTCTTCCCCTTTCCTGCCCCCTGCTGCCTTCTTTTCTGGCTGGTCCTTTAAGGACCCTGCTCCGTACAGGTACCGCTGTTTGTTGCACAAAGAGGAGACCTGGAGAGACACCTTGGGGGTAAGTCACCACAAACGCCTCTTGCATAGGAGGAAGTAGTCTATTTTGCCAGCAGAACTCCAGCAAGGCTCATGTCCAAAAGGGCCAGGCTCCCCGAACTGCTTTGTTCTGGGCCTTTCACAGGAAGCAGACAGAGCAGCACTAATGCTACCCTCCCATGTGGTCTTCAACACCAGCTCTAGCTTACTTGGTCAGCAGGGCAGCGGGTGGGGAGTTTGGACATGTCCTGACTGTCCAGATAAGGGAATCCTCCTACAAGCTCACAGCCTCTTTAGCCCGGCACAAAGAGAAACCTTCTCAGGAATTACACCCCTCCTGGCTCTCTGCAAAGGAAGTGCCCACCCAGCCTCCCCCTTCCTGGTACTTCACACACAGGCGAGGCCTCTCCTTTCCCAGGGTCCCTGGCTCTCCATGAAGGAAGCGACCGCCCAGCCTCCCCTCTGCCTGGGACTTCACACACTGTTCACACTCAAAGCTCAAACTCACCATGGTGCAGGCAGAACTGGCTCATGGCCCCCCTACCTTGGGGAGCTAGTCATCCCTCAGGAGACTAACCACCGTTCTCCTCCAGAGTGGCTTGGGGGTTGAGCCCCCAGAAAGGCTTGGCCTCTCGCTCCCATCTCAGCCAGAACTCCCTGTTCACTCTGTGCCTGCCCGCGTCTGTCCAGTGTGGCTGAAAGGTGGTTCTGGGCGTGAGCTCAGTTCCAGGCTTGAAGAGCCTCGAAAGGCCTCATCTCAGGGGTTCTGAAAAGCTCCCTCAGGTCAGCAGGTCTTCTGCACGATTCTGAATGATGATCTCCTTTTATTGTCTCTCCTTCTATTCAGAACGTTCTACTGTGACCGACCTGGTCAAAGTGGTTAGCCGGGGCGCCATCCGGTTCTGGCCTCAGGCTAGTGGAGGCTGCGACTTGTGTGTCCATGGTCCTTTGGACTGAGTGTCCCCGAGTCTTCGATTTCCTCCACTCTCCCCCACTCCACATGAGAAGACCCCCCCCCCAGTGTATCTTTGAGGGCTGCTTGTAAGCTTTTCAGGCTCCGCTCACGCTCACCAGGTGCACTGTAGAACCTTGCCTGATGGGCTACGTTTATGGGTTATTGCTATATTGCAAGATTATAAAAGTAAATTGGGGTTTTTTTGTTGTTTTTTTATAGTTCAATGTTTTATTGCAGATAATACATGAAATGGACAACTGAAGTTTGACACTATGAGGGGGAGAGTGCCCATAAAGATGCTTCGAAGCAGTGCCAGCAACCACCCTTCAGACAGACGTTCTCATGGAGGCTCTAGTATTAACAACAAGTATTAACAAAAAAGCAAGAATGTTCTCAGTGATTTTCTAGGCCCTGAGGGTGGGCCCCGCGGGGTCATCTCAGTCCACATCTACCCTTCGGCTCATTTTGACAGCGGACTTTATTCTCTTTTGTTTCAGTCTTTCCCGATTCCCTGATCTTCCAAAGGGCAGCATCTTCCTTAGACGGCTGTTTCGGGGCCTGGCTGGCCTCAGGGATGATGTCTCAGATTTTCTGTAGGCAGTCGGTCAGATTCCGGAACTGATAGCGGCTACATTCCGACATCAGGATCAACTCTCCTGCCCTGTTGATCTAATTTTTATGCCTGACGGCGATCTTCTGCCACAGGGGCTCCGCTATCCAGTCGGCAGTGGCCAGATGCAATCTGACTTCAGCCTTGGAATTCACTTTGTTCACATTCTGCCCCCCAGGACCGCTGCTCCGACAGTACGATATTGTCAAGCGATCTATAGGAATGTCATTGCTGGCTTGCTTTCAATCATCCGGGACCATCCACGCGGTCTCTGCCCCCTTGGATTCGGGGCACAGCTTGTCCAGGCTGTGGATGCTCTGGAACTTGGCACCGTCCACGTGCTTGTGCAGAGTCCGGCGGGGACAGCGCGCGAGGGGCGGGAGCAGCCAGGCTCCGCTCGCGGCCCAGTGAAGGGCCCAGGCCGCCACCAGTTGCCGGTCACGGGCACTTTCCAAGTAAATTGTTTTGAAGGGGTTTTTGTGTTTGTTTCCTGAAGAAAGCTGCTTCTTGTTGTTGTTGTTGTTGTTGTTGTTGTTGTTAGGTGTGATGAAGCCACCTCACAGTGACCCTGTGAGAAGCCAGTGTGAATCTCTCTCTACCCTGTGCCGTCACCATCATCTCTGACGTGCCAGAGACTGTTACACTCACTGTTGTGTTTTTTTTTTTTCTTTTTATATCCAATTTCTTGCATTGTGTCTGGACTTTTCTAAGGACATTACACACATCCTTAGGCAACTTCCTACAAAGGATGCTATGACTGGGCCTGTTTTATAGATTAAGGACCTGAGGCTCATGAAGGAGGCGCAGTGACGCAGTGGCTGGATTTGAATCCAGGCTGCCCGACTCCAGTGCTCACAGACACTGATTCTTCTTCTGTCATTCTTTGTCCAACATTTAGATGATAGGAAGAAACGGAAAACACCATGGCTTGGATCTTCATCTTTGCCTTGGACCTTTGCCTTCGTCTTTAAGGCTTATGGGACTGATCCACTCTGAACGCCTCCCTGTTCTGTGAAGAATGCTTCCATCCATGTTTGGGTTTTCACCTTCCCTAACGAAGTTTGCTGCTTCCTTAAAAAGTTGGGAGTAGAAATGCCATTTGATCCAGCAATCCCACTTACGGTTCCCGTGTGCTTTCAAATCAGACCTGATTCACAGCTGACCCTCAAGTGGATTTTCAGACTATAATCTCATGGGAGGTACACACAGCAAGATAAAGGTAAATAATCCAATCGAAAAATGGGCACAGGATATGAACAGACAGTTCACCAAAGAAAACATTCAGATGGCCAACAAACACATGAAGAAATGTTCAAAATCCTTAGCTCTAAGAGAGATGCAAATCAAAACAACTAAGAGATATCATCTCACCCCAGTCAGAATAGCAAAATTTAACAGAACAGCAAGCAACAAATGCTGGAAAGGTTGTGGAGAAACTGGAACCCTGATTCACTGTTGGTGGAAGTGTAAAATGGTGCAACCACTGTGGAAGGCGGTATGGCACTTTCTCAAAAAGTTGCTTTGTAAAGTGGAGCGAGCAGTT